ACATGGTACCTGATCCCACCTCCAATATTTTGGAGGTCCGTGTTTGCTCTGCTCCTTTTTTGTAATTGTGTTATGGACTTTTGATCTTAAATACTGTTCGTACTCTCCATATGTTCCATTTACAAAAGCGATGTCATTAAATAGTCGAAGTCAGTACCTCGGCTCCCCTTCAAAACGAACTTTTTATTCGAATAGTTCTGAATTTATTAAAGATTTAATACTACTGCTTTTATTTGTGCTGTTTTAAATACTTTTATGCAACTTCAAAGGTGCTTAGACAGAAATTTGATGCAATTGTTTTCTAAAATTTTCGGCATAATATTATATGAATGATATGCGATAACAAACCATCTGGGTTTCGCGAACACCATCGGACTTTGGAGTTTTACCTATGTTACAATAGCATTTTACACGGAAATATAATTTTAAAAACTTACTCTATAAATCTAGAAATTATTGAAACTAAGAATTTCGGGATGCGCTTAATTGATACATCCTTGCAGAGCAAATTTTATCCTTAATACCATCGTCGGAACCCACGGGTTTTCTCTCCGTTACACTGCATTTAAATGCAGTGTAACGGCGCAGAGAGAAAACCCGTGGGTTCCGACGATGCCTTAATACATGTACTTATGAGAAGTGAAAAAATTGTTGTGTTTTAATAAAATATATTAAAAGTATAATCCAGAAAAATTAGAGTAGAAATGTAGGAAAGCAAAACACCAACTCACCAGTATTATCAGTCCGTATACATACTCAGTGATGTGTACAGAGTTGAACACGGTAAAACGTCAACATTAGCAAAATCTTCGTGCGCTTTTTACAAAAACAGAAACGTTTCACAGTTGTTCAACTTGTCAGAGCAACACCTTTAAAGAACAAGAGGCCCAGGGGCCACAGCGCTCACCTGAGCACATCGGGCTTGAATTTAACCCCCCCCCCCCCCAGGGCATTCATCATTTGAACAAACTTGAATCTACACTACCTGAGGATGATTCCATATAAATATCACTAGTCATAGCTTTGAAGTACTTGAAAAGAAGATTTTAAAAGATTTCCCTATATATCCCTATGTAAAATTTGGATGGGCCATTTTGCCCCCATCCTAGCTCCGGGGGTCATGATTTGAACAAATTTAAATCTACACTACCTGAGGATGATTCCACATGAGTTTCATCTTTTCTGGCCCAGTGGTTCTTGAGAAGAAGATTTTTAAAGATTTTTCCTATATATTCCTATGTAAAACTTGGGTCGGCCATTTTGGCCCCACCCTAGCCCCGGGGGTCATGATTTGAACAAACTTGAATCTACACTACCTGAGGATGATTCCACATGAGTTCCATCTTTCCTGGCCCAGTGGTTCTTGAGAAGAAGATTTTTAAAGATTTTTCCTATATATTCCTATGTAAAACTTGGGTCGGCCATTTTGGCCCCACCCTAGCCCTGGGGGTCATGATTTGAGCAAACTTGAATCTGCATTACCTGAGGATGATTCCACATGAGTTTCATCTTTCCTGGCCCAGTGGTTCTGGAGAAGAAGATTTTTAAAGATTTTTCCTATATATTCCTATGTAAAACTTGGGTCGGCCATTTTGGCCCCACCCTAGCCCCGGGGGGTCATGATTTGAACAAACTTGAATCTACACTACCTGAGGATGATTCCACATGAGTTTCATCTTTCCTGGCCCAGTGGTTCTTGAGAAGAAGATTTTTAAAGATTTTTCCTATATATTCCTATGTAAAACTTGGGTCGGCCATTTTGGCCCCACCCTAGCCCCGGGGGGTCATGATTTGAACAAACTTGAATCTACACTACCTGAGGATGATTCCACATGAGTTTCATCTTTCCTGGCCCAGTGGTTCTTAAGAAGAAGATTTTTTAAAAATGCCATTAATTTTTCTATAATTCATAATTATCTCCCCTTGGAAAAGGGCGTGGCCCTTCATTTGAACAAACTTGAATCCCCTTTACCCAAGGATACTTTGTGGCAAGTTTGGTTGAAATTGGCCCAGCGGTTCTTGAGAAGAAGTCGAAAATGTGAAAAGTTTACAGACAGACGGACAGACAGACAGATGGACGCCGGACAAAATGTGATCAGAAAAGCTCACTTGAGCCTTCGGCTCAGGTGAGCTAAAAACCTTACATAAAGAAATTATTAGAATCCGAACCCCGAATATAGATTTATTTTTTCTCTCGAAGAAATGCTTTGCCAGTTACCTTAGAAGATACAGCAGTGATAATTTTTCGCATCGTTTCTCGGTCATATATACAATGTAAGAATACTACAAAAACCCCATTTCTGGCCATTATGCACACGTCAATACAATAAATAGATAAATAAAATCCCCCCTTTCTTTATAAATTTTAAATAATTGATCTGTAGATGTTTGAAAATATTTTCGCCGCAACTAAATGAAAAGAGCGTTGTTTCTCCTACTCATTTAGTTATATTATGTCCATAAATAGGATTATAAACTAACTGCAAGAAGTAGTAATTCGCCATTGGAATTTGCTCTCGGTTCATTTTAAAATCAGAATTTTTCCGTTTATTAGTGTTTTGTGCAATGATTTTATGAAAACGTCCAGAGTGTGTGTTGAGTCTGCTCAATGAAAAAGGTAGGATAACGAACAGTGATCTAGCACTGAAAACTACAAACAATATAACTCTGTGGACAGGTATAAAACACGGACCCCTGGCAATTACAGAAGTAGGATCAGTTGCCTAGAAGGAATAAACATCCCTCAAAATAGGATTCTTTAGGTCCTGAAACAAGGAAAATGATATTTTACACGTACTTTACCCTAGTCACCAAAAAAGCTCAGAATATCTTTACCCTAATCAAAAATTTACTTTACCCTAATCATGCTCAAATTTTGTATTGGCAATCTGGCTTTAATCAGCCAATGTCATGCCGCCTTTTGCGATAGTTGTGTTCTTCTGTACGAAATAATTCAATTTTAACAACAAAATTTATGATAAAAGTCTGTATAATGCTGAAACTACGTGCAAAATGATCGAATCGTGTTTGCTAGACGCCATCTTGGACTAGGGTAACGCACTTTACCCTAGTCCGTTTCTACACAGTGATTAGGCTACTTGCGTTTTACTGTGTAAAACGCAAGAGGAGTTCAGGGAACTAGGGGCTTTTTGCATTTAAAACATTTCTGACCCCATTTGACCCTAAGGGTGAAATAGAACATTCTGAAACCTTACTACACATCCACATGACACCATCAACCAACTCCCAAAAGTTGATTTATAGGCTACTGTGTTAAATGTAAAAGTATTTGAGGAAGCCAATCAATTGATCATCGTCATAAAATCAAACAATCTGCCAGTTATTCCTTATATTTACATGGTATTGATTTTGCCAATCCATGTGCTAGACGCCCCGCTTCTTGTCTCTATTCTATTTGCCCCGCCCTGCACTTGATTTTTTTTAACCTAGCTTATCGATGAAACAGAACATTGATGAAGAAATAAAGTACATTACCTATTTGTAATTTCATCTCAAACTAGTGCTAATTGTAACAGGGACCGTTACAGATGTTCCCCAAACGCTCCCCAACTCCCTTTTATAGTCATATCCCCTGTAAGCGTAATTAAATAAGACAAACTTTATGCATTTGAGACTTTAACAACGTTTACCCAAAAGTGTACCATGTTCATTTAAATTTTATCATTGCACACTTGCGCATGTGAATGCGTGTGCGTAATGACCATATCATATTGTCTACACAATCTATATATTTAAATATGCTAAATATTAAAAGTATTTAATCCAAAAGTATAAAAAAAAAACGCTCCTTCAAGTGTATTTTTGATTTAACCCATTTCACGTGCACGCACGGGCATACATGAGCACCGTACCTTCCTAAAGTCCATTACATCTATCTATGTTCTAAATCCCACCCCATTTGGTTGAAAACCAAGGGAGTGATAGCTGTTTAAAGTTTCAGCCAATCAGATTGCAGCGCACGTACTTGCACGTGTATGCATGTGCATGGTGACCAAACCTTTTTGTAGAAGTCCATTATATATATCTATGTTCCAAATCCCAACCTGTTTGGTTGAAAACCAAGGGAGTGATAGCTGTTTAAAGTTTCAGCCAATCAGATTGCAGCACACGTACTTGCACGTGTATGCATGTGCATGGTGACCAAATCTTCTTGTAGAAGTCCATTATATATATCTATGTTCCAAATCCCAACCTGTTTGGTTGAAAACCAAGGGAGTTATAGCTGTTTAAAGTTTCAGCCAATCAGATTGCAGTAGTCGTACACGCACGTGCATGCATGTGCATGGTGACCACACCTTCTTGTTGAAGTCCATTATATATATCTATGTTCCAAATCCCATCCTGTTTGGTTGAAAAGCAAGGGAGTTATAGCTATTTAAAATTTCAGCCAATCAGATTGCAGCGCACGTGCAAGCACGTGTTTTCATGATAATTGCTATATATCATGTTGTAGGATATCCTAATGCATGGCTATGTTCAAAATTTCAAAGGATTTCGTCAAAAAACAAGAAAGACATTGATACTTTAGTTTCAGCCAATCAGAGCGTAGCGCACGTGCATGCGCATGAGATCTTGCCATATTGACCACGACATCTTGTTTATACTACTAATATATCCTTACATCATGAGTTTCAAAACATTTCATCAAAAAATAGAAAAGTTACGGCAGTAAACATTATATTTGTCATTTCACGTGTCGCACGTGCGCGCTCTTGCAAGCACGTGCGCGCAAAATGACCTTCGTTCGGCAACTCTACATAACATGCCTACTGACCCTAAAAAGGTTTCACCTAAGTCGGATGTATAGTTTACAAGATCACTCGTGGACAAAATTTTCCCAGGAAGAAGAAAAATAATAATAATAATAAGAAACAGAGTAAAAACAATATGTTCCCCAACTTCGTTTGGGGAACATAACAAAGGCATTGGAAATGTAAATATTATGCCATAAAGATAATAACTTATATTCAGACACTTACAGAGCACATTGACAATCATGGACTGACTGCTTGATCCCGTGCCTCCAATGCTGTAACTGTTTTGTGCTGTACACGTGTAGGTATCAGCACTGCCTCTCTGTATGTTCTGTATCAGTAGTACAACACCATTTTGTCTAAATCCAGAGTCACCTGTCTTGGTCCAGTAGATAGTGGTTTGGGCAGGATTTCCATCGGTGATAAAACATGTGACAGATAGATCATCTCCTTCTATAATGTCTTTATTTGTCAAATTGGACACAGTTGGAGGATCTACACACAATGATGAAAATAGAGGTAAAATTTTCTTAATCTGATCCTCCTACTATGCATCAATATTTTAAGATTAATTTGAACTCTTAGAAAATTATTATGACAATGCAACAAATTAAATGGATATAAATCTTTTTTTCTTTTATTCTTTTTTTTTAATTCTTTTATTTTATATTATAATAAATTATTTATAAACAATGGCATACACATACATGTAACTGTTTTTAGAAATATTTAACTAGTCATTGCTGATATCAGAAATATGTTGCAGCCATTATTCTCACATCAATAACAAGAGGCCTATGGGTTACATCGCTCACCTGAGAAGCTTTGATCATGCTATTTTTAACCAGATTTTTCCCTCGTGACCTATTGTGACCCATCGTACCCAACATTGGCGTCGGAAGCAAATTGAAAGTGGGGGGGCTAAGTGTAAGAAATTTTTTTTTTCTACCTCCAAAAAACCTGACAAGCAAAAAAAAAAAAAAAAAAAAAAAAAGATGTCTATTTCCCAATTTCCCAAACACGAAAATCTTATTTCGTGGGGGGGGGGGGGGGGTAGGTTGGAACTCCAGTACCAAAAATTTTCTTCCAAACACCAACACTTTTCCCAATTTTAACCTATACTAAGACGTATCTGTGGAAAGTGGGGGGCTAAACTTACGAAGATATGTTCAATGTCTATACTAAATATATATTTGGAAAAAAAGTGGGGGGCTAAGCCCCCCCTAGCCCCCCCCGGTTCCGACGCCTATGCCCAACAGGTCATAATTTGGACAATTTGAAATGTACACTATCCCAGGATGCTTCCACATAAATTTCAGCCATTCTGGTCCAGTGGTTCTAAGTGAGAAGGAGAATTTTAAAGTTTTTATCCTAAATATTTTGATGTTAAACTTTGATTCCCTATTGTGGCCCCGCCAATCTCCCAGGAGCCATGATTTGAATAATATAGAATCTACACTACCCCAGGATTCTTCCACATAAGTTTCAGCTTTCCTGGCCCAGTGGGTCTTGAGAAGGTTTTAAAATGTTTTTCCTATATATTTCTTTCTAAATATTTGATTCCCTATTGCGGCTCCACCCAACACCGAGGGACCATGATTTGAAAATTCAGAATCTACATTACATAAGGATGCTTCTACATAAGTTTCAGTTTTTCTGGCTAAGTAGTTCTTGAGAAGAAGACTTTTAAAGTTTTTTCCCTACATATTTCATTATGTAAAACTTCAATTCCCTATTGTGGCCCTGCCCAACCCCGGGGGTCATGATTTGAATAATTAACAATCTACACAACCCCGGGATACTTCCAAATAAGTTTCAGTTTTTCTGGCCCAGTGGGTCTAGAGAAGAAGATTTTTTCACATATATTTCTTTGTAAAACTTTTATTCCCTATTGTGGCCCGCCCAACCCCAAGGGGCCATGATTTGAACAATTTAAAATGTACACTACCCTAGGATGCTTCCACATATTAAGTTTCAGTTTTTATAGCCCAGTGGTTCTTGAGAAGCACATTTTTAAAGATTTTACCTATATATTTCTTTGTAAAACTTTGATTCCCTATTGTAGCCCCGCCCAACCCCCGGAGTTCATGATTTGAACAATTAAGAATCTACACTACCCCAGGATGCTTTCACATAAGTTTAAGCTTTTCTAGCCCCGTGGGTCTTGAGAAGAAGATGATGACCCCAACTTATTTTTCTTATTTCTTGATTATCTCCCCTTGTTAGAGGACCTGGCCCTTAATTTTAACAATTTAAATTCCCCTTCGCCCAAGAATGCTTTGTACCATGTTTGGTGTAAATTGGCACAGTGGTTTCAAAAATGTTAAAAGTTTACAGATGGACAAACAGCTATAGTCAGCTAGACAGATAGACGGACGGACAAAATGTGATCAGAAAGCTCACTTGAGCATTCGGCTTAGGTGAGCTAAAATATGATGAAACATTTCATACATTACAATGATTACATATCATGTACATACCCAGTGTTTGAAACTCGCTGTAAAATTAGCTAGACATGCAGGGCTGATTGCTAGTGGAAGTTGTCAGCCCTGCCAAAAATGTACTTGTCCGAAAAAAGCATTTGTCTTTTAAAATTTCGTTTTAACAGTAATGTGAATGGGGCCAGCTCACTATATATTGGATTACTTGATATCGCGATTACTTAACTAAGCGGAACTCTTTCGCGATGGAGGTAGGAAACGTCTGTTTGTTTGGGCAAATGTGCTATTAAATTAATACAATGCAAGATCGATCATTGTAGAATTTATAAGGACAGATAAGTAAAAAAAATCCTGGTGGAAGGGTAGCTAAACAATCAATGACCCAGCCTAATTAATTTTTCAGAGAAGCTAATCCTAAAATGTTACATTTTACGATATTTTTAACTAAGCGGGCTCTTCTCATTAAATATTTATTGAAAATCATCACATTGTAAAGCTGATAAAATTTTCTACACTTTCCTTATTTGACAATCTACTATTTGGAGTTCAATTCTTGGAATACATTGAACTTTCGGCGTAAAATTGTTCGAATCATTCGATTGTCACTACTGTAAACAATGCCATGTGCCCCAGTAATCTCGCGAGATTTAGAGATTTTTCGACTCCCCCACAAAAGAGCGGTAGTAAGTTAGATAACTGTGAGGTACTTGCGATATTACGATATTACTACTTGTTACTCTTTGAAGCTAGTAATATTAGTTGATTTGAGAGAGGTTTATCAAATTTTAATTTATAGAAAAATTTTACACGTCCAGCCGGGCGTCAATACATGCAAATCTGTTTGCCCGCGACAAAATCTGTGCTCTCTGGCGGTCAGGCGCATGGTTATTTTAAACACTGATGACATACCAAATTTGAAAAAGAGAAATGAAAATAAACATAGTTCGTGATCTTGATACACTTGGTTATTTGTCATGCTGTCTGCATATTGCCATAACTGCCTTAGCTTTTACATTTCAAAATTTATCAACCACAGAGGTTATTCTGCAACATCAAAAAAACAAATTCACATAATTAATTCAGAAAATGAATATTAAACTCACATTCGACATTGATGATCATGGACTGCTTGCTCTGTCCTTTGTTTCCCGATGAGTACTGATTTTCTGCTGTGCATGTATAGTTACCAGAACTACTGCTTTGTATTTTTGTCAGATTAAGTACATCTCCTTCCTGTCTGAAAGAACTGCCCTGTCGTGCCCAGTACACATTGGTCTCTGATGGCTGTCCTTTATCATAAAGGCATTTTTTGTTGAAGTCTGTTCCCTCTATGGCTGTTGTATTATTTAAAGTGTGAACAGTTGGAGGACCTGAAAAAGTTTCATACTCAGGCTGTAGAATACAATGGAGATGAGAGGCCAACAGGCCATATAGGTCAGCTGCCAGTGAGTATTGTGTAACAATTTTTCAACAATTGAATTTGGTTTGTTCTTTTTAAAACCAAAAGCCATGTTATTATGTTCCCCAAACGAAGTTGGGGAACATATTGTTTTTACTCTGTTTCTTATAATTATTATTAAGGTCTTCCGTCTTCACGGAAAACCTTCTAGTGATTCTGCTGTTTATTAAGGTCTTCCGTTTCAGACAGAAGACCTTATAGTGATTGTACTGTTTCTTTTTATTATTACGTCTTTCCACCTTTCTGTGGAAAGACCTCTTGAAATGCTTCTGTTTTTTATTAGGTCTTTCCACCTTTCTGTGGAAAGACCTCTTGAAATGCTTATGTTTTTAGGTCTTTCCACCTTTCTGTGGAAAGACCTATTGATTTTCTTCTGTTTTTTTTTTTATTTTTTATTATTTTTCCGCCGTGTGATTTTGAGTTTCAAGATTTATCGAAAAGATTTTAAGTTCATAAGAATGTACTCCGTAAAAGATTTTTGCAGTTGACCCTGCGTATATGAACTATGACCTTTTTCAGAGTTATTACCCCTTTCGCAAAAAAGCTTGTTATCGCTACTCCTCCGAAACCGTAATCCGTAGGGAAATGAAACCTTCACTAATGTCTTCGACTTATTTAGTAGACACTTCATTGGTTCATTGCGAAAGTATTCGTTGACCCCTTCAATGAGTTATAGCCCCTGGAAGTTTTTGAATTTTACAAATAATTAAAAATTTTCAAAACGAGACGTTGTAGAGACATGGGACTAACTGCATAAGATTCACTGACCTTTGGTCTTGAAATTTATAGAAAGGTCAAAGGTCAAGGTCATTCCAAAACTGAGAAATTAAGCTCTTTTTATATCTCTTTAGTCTTTCAACATATGGAATATGCCTTTGCATCATTAATATGTACTCTTAAAACTATTTCAAATATTACATTCATGTTCCTTAAGATTAACCCTTTCAAAAGTTATTGCCCCTTGTGCAAAAAACCTTGTTATCGCTACTCCTCCTAAACCAAAGACCGTAGAGACATCAAACCTTCATTAATGTCTTAAGGGTCTTTAGGCCTAACTTCATTGTTTAAGTGCGAAAGGATCTGATGACCCCTTATATGAGTTATTGCCCTTTAACTTCTTTGTACTTAATATTAAACATTATAACTTGAAAACTATAAGTCATAGAGGCATGGGGTCAATTGCATTAGACCCTTGACCTTTGACCTTGAATATTTTTCAAGGTCAAAGGTCAAGGTCATTCCAATTTTTTTTTTAAATTTTCATTTTATTTATGATTTAAGACAATTTTGGTTTCTCTTTCACGGAATTTAATTTTAAGGAGTCAGATATAAATAAATTTGAAATTCAAAGAAGGTGGAAAGACCTCTTATTGTTCTGTGAACAATAAGTCTCCTAGTTTATTTTATTTCTCACCTTATGTTTTGACACCGTAAGACTTATCGAAAAACTTTATAGTTCATGATACTGGATATTTAAAGTTATTCCGAAAAATGACCCCCCATGATTTAACTTAGGCCCCTTATGCAGTTTTTGTCCCTTTCACCATAAAGCTTGTTATCGCTACTCCTCTGAAACCGTAAATCGTCGAGATGCAGAACCTTCACTAGCGTCTTCAACTAATTTAGGAGACTTTTCAATCTATTCATTGCAAAAGTTTTCTTTGACCCCTTCAATGGGTAACTGCCCCTGAAAGTTTATAAATTTTGTAAAAAAAATAAAAATTCTCAAAAGGAGAAGTCGTAGAGACATGAAACCAACTGCATAAGTTTATTGACCTTTGAACTTTAAATTCATTTCAAGGTCAAAGGTCAAGGTCATTCCAAATATGAAATTTAATTTTTTTTTAATAGCTCTTACATCCTTGAACATATACATTCATCTTCTGTCTGTGATATGCACTCTTAATACTCTTTCAAAGATTTCAGTCTTGTCCCCTAAGATTGACCCTTTTAAAAGTTATTGCCCCTTGTGCAAAAAACCTTGTTATCGCTACTCCTCGGAAACCGTAGACCATAGAGACACCAAATCTTCACTAATGTCTTAAGGGTCTTCAGGCCTTACTTCATTGTATAAGTGCCAAAGGATCTGATGACCCCTTATATGAATTATTGCCCTTTAACGTCTTTGTACTTGCTATTAAACCTTATAACTTCAAAAGTATAAGTCATAGAGGCATGGGGTCAATTGCATTGTGACCTTTGACCATTGACCTTGAATTTTTTTAAAGGTCAAAGGTCAAGGTCATTTCAATTTTTTTTTTTTTTCATTTTTTTAAAATTTATCCTTTTAGGACAATTTTGTTTGCTTTATTCATGTAATTTAATTTTAAGGAGTCAGATAAAACGAAATTAAACTTCAAAGAAGGTGGAAAGACCTCTTATGGTTCTTTGAACAATAAGTCTCCTAGTTATTTTATTTCTCACCTTATGTTTTGACACCGTAAGACTTATCGAAAATCTTTATAGTTCATGATATTGGATATTTAAAGTTATTCCGAAAAATGACCCCCCATGTTTTAACTTAGACCCCTTATGCAGTTATTGCCCCTTTCACCGTAAAGCTTGTTATCACTACTTCTTTGAAACCGTAAATCATCAAGAAATGCAAAACCTTCACTAACGTCTTCAACTTATTCAAAAAATTTTTGAATCTGTTTCTACCAAAAACTAACCCCTCAATGAGTAACTGCCCCTGAAAGTTTATAAATTTTATAAAAAACTTAAAATTTTCAAAACGAGAAGTCGTAGAGACATGAATCCAACTGCATAAATTTTATTGACCTTTGACCTTTAAATTCATTTCAAGGTCAAAGGTCAAGGTCATTCCAAATATGAGAAATAAATTTCTTTTTGATAGCTACATCCTTAAACATATACAATATATTCTCTGTCTGTGATATGCACTCTTAATACTCTTTCAAAGATTTCAGTCTTGTCCCCTAAGATTGACCCTTTTAAAAGTTATTGCCCCTTGTGCAAAAAACCTTGTTATCGCTACTCCTGGGAAAAGTAGCCCATAGAGACACCAAATCTTCACTAATGTTTTAAAGGGTCTTCAGGCCTTACTTCATTGTATAAGTGCCAAAGGATCTGATGACCCCTTATATGAATTATTGCCCTTTAACGTCTTTGTACTTGCTATTAAACCTTATAACTTCAAAAGTATAAGTCATAGAGGCATGGGTCAATTGCATTGTGACCATTACCATTGACCTTAAATTTTTTTTAAAAGGTAAAGGTCAAGGTCATTTAAATTTTTTTTTTTTTTTTCATTTTTTTAAAATTTATCCTTTTAAAAATTTTGTTTGCTTTATTCATGTAATTTAATTTTAAGGAGTCAGATAAAACGAAATTAAACTTCAAAGAAGGTGGAAGACCTCTTATGGTTCTTTGAAAAAAAGTCTCCTAGTTATTTTATTTCTCACCTTATGTTTTGACACCGAAGACTTATCGAAAATCTTTATAGTTCATGATATTGGATATTTAAAAGTTTTAAAAATGACCCCCCATGTTTTAACTTAGACCCCTTATGAAATTATTGCCCCTTTCACCGTAAAGCTTGTTATCACTACTTCTTTGAAACCGTAAATCGTAAGATGCAGAACCTTCACTAACGTCTTCAACTAATTTAGGAGACTTTTCAATCTATTTATTGCAAAAGTTTTCTTTGACCCCTTCAATGAGTAACTCCCCTAAGTTTATAAATTTTATAAAAAACTTAAAATTTTCAAAACGAGAAGTCGTAGAGACATGAATCCAACTGCATAAGTTTTTTTTACCTTTGCCCTTTTAAATTCATTTAAGGTCAAAGGTCAAGGTCATTCCAAATATGAGGAATAAATTTCTTTTAATAGCTCTTACATCCTTAAACATATACAATATATCTTCTGTCTGTGATATGACTTTAAATACTCTTTCAAAGATTTCAGTTGTCCCCTAAGATTGCCCCTTTTTAAAAGTTATTGCCCCGTGAAAAAAACCTTGTTATCGTCCCCTCGCCCTCCTAAGACCCCAAATCTTCACTAATGTCTTAGGGTTTCAGGCCTAACTTATTGTATAAGTGCCAAAGGATCTGATGACCCCTTATGTGAATTATTGCCCCTTAACGTCTTTGTACTTGCTATTAAACCTTATAACTTGAAAAGTATAAGTCATAGAGGTATGGGGTCAATTGCATTGTGACCCTTGACCTTTGACCTTGAAAATTTTCTAAAGGTCAAAGGTCAAGGTCATTTCAATTTTTAAAAAAAATTCATTTTTTTAATTTTTCCTTTTAAGACAATTTTGTTTGCTTATTCATGGAATTTAATTTTAAGGAGTCAGATGAAATGAAATTAAACTTCAAAGTAGGTGGAAAGACCTCTTATTGTTCTTTGAACAATAAGTCTCCTAGTTATAATTATTATTATTTTTTCCCCTTTTCTTGTAAGACGGATTTCTCAAAGATGGCTGAGTGGATTTTCTTGAAATTTTCAGGGATGGTGCTGAATGAAAATACGCTTAGACTTTTTTTTCGTTTTTTCAAAATTCACTTCCGGTCGTCAGATTTGTCCGATTTCTGTTTTTTTCAGAAATAATTTGTCATAGTCATATCTCAGAAAGAAACAGTAAGAGATTAAGACACCAAACTTATAGGAGTAATAGATCTTGATAAGTAGGCAGGCCCATTTGGGTTAAGATCGTCTGCCGTCACTTCCGGTCGTCACAGGAAGTGATCAAAGAAAATCGAAAATTTCAACTTTTCTTTATTGAAATTTTTTTTTGCATCATATTATAGCATCTTATTTGTAGTTTCGAAATATGTCAGTCCCATCGGAAACAAAAACGACAACTTCCGGTTATAAGAGAAAAACTGCATATTTTGAGTATTTTTCTTTCCCATAAATATTTTTTATAGATAAAGTATTTGTA